GTTATTTGAATATGGTAGCAACTCTGTAAAGAAGAATCCTACTGCACACATGTTTCCTATTCTGTTTCCAAAAATTTAGAAAACAAAAACAAAGTGTCCACAGAACCATAAGCATGATTTCACATCACAAAATTATAGAACCATAATAGAAATCATGATTAGTGGTTTTGAAAATATGCTTAGAATGTAAATTAAGCTGCTGGTGATAGGTTAACATCAGTGCCAGGTAAAAGAGTAATATGATGATTCATGAGTTTTACTTTTTATTCCAAAAGTGAATGGAAGAGCCTCCATGGTGCCTGTATTCCACACCACCAATTTTGACTCAAGTATCTCGATTGGTGATTGTTGAATTGCCAAGTTATTTCCATATTCATGAGATGAATGCACTTTTTTTTCCTTTTTTTTTTTTTAACCCTAATGGATTTTTATTTTTCACCAATTCATCTTGGATTTTTTGCTTTATTCCATTAGTTTTTTTATGAACAGCCCTCAAATTCAGGTTTGTTTCAAATGGAAGCATTTTTGAAATAAACAATGGCTTATTTGACTTGGTTTCATTCTTAAACATTGTTAGCTTATGATGGTTGAAACTTGGAGGTTTCTTGATGGTGTCCCTTTCTCTCCTGTTGGCAAACATGGTTAAGTTATTAGTGAACATTTAAGAGAGCCGGTTGATGCAGTTTGGGTCCTCAGATGGGAAGTAGTTGGTGGTAGGCCCTCTACAAAGGGATAGGACGACGTTTCTGAATGTGGATGAATTTTTGGTTATAATTGTAGAGACCAAACAAATACTTAGTTTAAGCTGCCCAAAAGCTCATGGTTCCTGCCCTTGGAAGACCTTTTGTTGTCTTCAATCACTATGTATGTCCATTATTCTAATTTATAATTCTATGGTTACAAACCCAATATTTGATAAAATTGATGTATAGGCTATCAATAATTAATATTATTTGATTTGGAAGATATTGATAGCAAAATAAAAGGAATGTCATATTTTTCATTTTATAGCAGCATAGACAAGAGGAATGTCAAATCGCAGGTAGCATTTTGGATTAGAATTTGATATAAATTTAGATCTATACTTATTATGTAATTTTGAATTCTTGCTTTCAAGTTTGTATGCATTCTTTTGGTATATTGAGTTTATGACTATTTCATTAAAAGTGCTTCGCATGCTTTGGTCAATGTATTTTCTTATTATACTTGGTAGTATCCTAGAAGTCACCTGAGAGATTATCAGACACCGGGACATGGTGATTTCCTAAAAATTAAGATACGAACATGACAGGGATATGACAATTTTATATATATAACTTGTCACGCCCTCAAAATAATACATAAAATCCATCACTAAGACATGTATTGATACAGAAGAAATCAATCATTTCTATTCATCAGAGTAGTTCTTACAACAATATTACATGTTAACAACAAAAGCAAATGCCCTACAGGCTTACAGCTTTCCAAGTCAACACTTGGTTATACAAAAGAAGAGTACTAACTCTATACAAAGTAAGCCCTTGGCTTGAGATACATGTAATACAAACAAAATATTCAAAAGGGAGTCTTCAACTCCCATATCCATCCAAGCCATGTCCTTGGAGGTGGCATGCTACCTATACCTGAAAATAATGTCCCATATAGGGTGAGCCAACGCCCAGTAGAGATATGCTAAACACAGTATGGGCAATAACTAAGACATTTAGCAGATGATAAATGTTCAATTTTCATAAATCAATTCATAACCCATTTCCATTTCATGACCACTGTGTTCATGTTTCATTTCATTTTCCATTTCTCATCAATTTCACAATTTACATCAACGGCTTAGAACCTGGCCAACCAACTCATATGAGACAGTGACTCATATTGAGCGTTTCCCATTTTACAATAGACAAGCCTACTAGCTATATCAACATCTCAATAGATAAGCATACAAGCTGTATCCACACTTTAACAGATAAGCATATGAGCTATATCAACACTTCCATAGATAAGCATATGAGCTGTATCAACACTTCAATAGATAAGCATAAGAGCTGTATAAACACTTCAATAGATAAGCATATGAGCTGTGTCAACACTTTCATAGATAAGCATATGAGCTGTATCAACATAACACAATTTTCGGTCTAAAGGTCCAGCCTCTTTCCCCTCCCACACAAAACAATGTATATACACATAGGTCCTATACACAATCAATCAACACATAACGTTAATGTATTCTATCAGCCATCATACTCTATGACACATCCAATTGATTAGTTTTAGTTTACCTAATCATCATGCATTGTCTACAACAATCATAACTATCCTCCACCGGTAGTCCAAAGTAATTATTTCTAAACAGATAATAAAAGCTCCAACAGATAAAATATCAATATTTTTAAGAGTGAGCGATTAATAAATCCAACTCCACCATTTCACAACATAATGAGCCAATTTCATTATTTCCAACTCAATTCCACAAGTCCACAATTTTCCCAAATTAATTATACCAATTAATTTATACAACAAATTAGGGTTTTCTACCCCATTTCCCAATGTTAACCCAATGGCCTATATATCAACAACCAACAACAATATCATTATTTTGAAACCCAAAATATATATTTTTGAATCAAAATAACAAAACCCCCTTTTAACTTTTTCAAACCTTAACTTCCCAAAATCAATCATTTAACAAAATACCCAAATATCTAGGTCAAAACCCATAGTAGTGAGTAGGAATCCCTACCTCAAAAGATGACACCCAACGAAGAAGATGACGAAAACGAAGTTGCTCCAAATTACAAGTTTCTCGGATTAAAATGTAGCCCTCGACGATCAACCCAACTTTTACAAAGGCCAAAGGTGAGGAAACAACTCCTACTAGATCAATACTTAAAGAGAAGTTTGAGTTTTAGAGTGAGGTGCTCTCTAATGGCTTTTTCAGAAAAGTATGAGAGAAAAAGAATGAGAAAAAGTGATTTAAAATTGCCCCACAGCCAACTGATATACAACATTCCCGCTCGAGCGGAAAACATAACGCTCGAGCGTCAAGAACAAAAACTAGGTCCGCTCGAGCGCAAGAAGGCCCGCTCGAGCACCAAGACACAAGAATAAAGTGCATCCGCTCGACAGTATTACCCGCTCGAGCGCCAACAAGCCCGCTCGAGCGTGACCCGCTCGAGCGTAGAAAACACACCTGCAGAAGTTTTGCAGGGACACGAAATACTGGAAGTGTGCAATCCCCGCTCGAGCGCCATACGACCTGCTCGAGCGGAACGACCAAAAACCTGGCAACAAAGATTTAGACCAAGGCTCGACCTACCTGCTCGAAACAAGTCCAACACATCCCAAAACTCAAACATAAAGAATTAAAGGATGACAATGAGGTATATAACCACCAACTCCACGGAACCAAAGTCCAAAATACAACAAATACAGAAAGGGAAAACTGGGATCGCTATAACTTGCTGTTTTTATGAATATTGCACCCACAAATAACCAAAAAAATGAAACATTAACAAAAATTCAACATGAAAAAACAACTCAAATCATAAACTTTAATGAATTTAAAGGGTATTGGAAAATATTTTTTATTAATTATAAACTATTACATCATAGTTGTTTGCCTTTATCAACATTAGAAATTGTGGGTCTGCTTCTAGAACACGTGGAAAACTTTCCTATAATATTACAAGTTATAAAAATAACAATTTCAACAATCAAACATTGATTTAGATAAGGGAAAAAATGCCACTGGTATTGTTTACGGAGAATACTACAAAGTGATGATTAGCATAGACAAGATGTTTACATAGTCGTGATTATAAATTTATAATGACACTTTTTACATCATATAGAAGATAATATCTTGGAGTGTGTCCAAAGGCAGGACACACATGTTCATTACCTATCCCCGACATGTCAAGGAGGAAAAAAGATAATTAAAAAATGAGGCATGCCACGTGGTGTGTTTGGTATTCATCCCGGTGTGTCAGAGGTGAGTCAATGTTCGACATATGTTGGACACAGAAACAACAACTAAGTTGAAGTGTCCATGCTTCATAGATGTGCCTTAGATTTTTTGAATAGATGTGGAATCAATTAAACTAATTTATTTGCTACCTGTCATTTTGAATAGATGTGGAATCAATTAAACTAATTTAGATTGGCTTCTCCAGATCAAAAAATTATAGAACCATAATAGAAATCATGATTTCACCTGAAGTGTCCACACTCCTTTAGGACCTCGGAAATCAGGTATCCCACAAGATGTTGATATTCCTGCACCTGTAAATACTACTAGGTGCTTACTCTGCAAGTACAGAAGAAGAAATTCAAAACGGTTAAATAATAATTAATCTAGAAGAGATGTTTTTCAAGATGTAAGAGACAATGTGATTAATTAGTTTTAGATTTTAGAAGTCCTTAACCTTTTGTATCATCAGCGCAAGCTTTTTAATCTGCCATTCAACAGTAAAACAAATGATATCACAGAGCTGAGACAAGATCACATAACCTCTAACAGAAAATTGGTATATAGTTATTGAACAATACAGTACTTATATATTATTAGGATCAAAACATGGTTATAAAAGGAGCATTAGAAGAGCATTATGAAGTTGGTGAAACTTAACGAAACCCACCCAATTTAAATAGAGAAAACAAGCTGACCTTGACAAGATTTAAAGGAACAACAATAAAACACTCTAATTAATTTGAATTTTTTATTGAATTGAATCTAGTTCTTAGCTCTTTTTATTTTATTTTATATTATATATATTTATTTTCCCCCTCTTGTTTCTGTTAATCTATGTGAATATTCGATGCCATTTGATTTCAATGGAAAGTACATCCTTCACTCTCTGTATAGCTGTGTTTATTTCATGTATATTGAGTATCATCCTTCTAACTATTCAGCACATCTTTATCAAAGATTTGAAAGGGCTTTGAAAGAGAGCATTTCTTCAAATGTAAGAATCCAAAAATTTCAACATTTTGCACTAGAACAATTGGTTTTAATTCCTTATAATATTGGGTAATTATCTAAAACTATTTATTTCATGTGTTCAAATGATAATAAACTTATTAAGCTTATACTTGTGACTTGTTCAATTGTAGGTACCATTGGATATTGTTAGTCATTGATCTAACATTGATGATTGTGTACTTACTTGATCCGATTAATTCTAAAATAAACACAAGCTTTGAAATTGTAATAAAAACGTAAGTTTGGCTAGTTCGTACATTTTTAAGCAATTTGAGTTACTCTAAAAATATTTTGACATTTGGAATTTCTTTTGTAAAGTGCTTTGAAAATTTATGAAACTACCCAAAGGAGGAGGAGGACCAATCCAGTTTGGAAAGTAGTTCAGGTAATCAATATCATTTTCTTTAATTTTATCATACTTATATTATGCTAATGATTGTTCATCTTGATCATAACACTTTATATATAGTTTCTAATAATAATGAAAATGCTTTTATGTAGTCCCCGCAACAACCTACAAACGTGGAATGTGGGTTTTATGTAATGCGGTATATGAAAGACCTCATTAGAGATCAAAGCATCCTAAGAAAACAAAATGTGAGATAAATTCTAAACTTTTATTATTATTATATTCATTATACTTGTACATCTTCTTCATTATCTAATTGTTTGTAAATAACCTCTTGCAGTTCAATGGAAAAAAGACTTACACGGAAACCGAACTTGATGAAGTGCGAGTTGAATGGATTAATTTCGTACTAAAGAATATGAGTTGAAATCCAATGTAAGTATGATATGACTTCCGTTGTTTAAATTATTAATCAACAATTTCTTTAGTTGGTAAAGAATATATAATCACTTCAAGATTTCATTTTAGATTTGTTGATTCTATGTATATTTGGTTTTATGACTTTAAAATATCTACTCATACATTGAAGATTTTCATTTTGGATTTATTGATTCTATGTATATGTCATATTTATATATGGTAATCCAAACATTTTATATTAGTAACAATCAAAGTTGTTATTCATTTTCCATTGATGCAGGAGATGAAGAGTCAGTGTGATGAGAAAATGTTCGATTTCGTCTTTTGTAAGTCTCTACAAAAATATTAAGTTTATTCATATGCTTTTAGCGGTTTCTGAATTAATTTGTGTTTTTATTTTTCAGGTCAGAAATTTCTTGGAGAAATGCAAAATATGGTCAAAGAATTCAACAACTTAGTTTTTTCAAGTTTTTTTTTTTTTTTTAATATATGTAAGCACAGTTAAAAACTTTTTACTAATTCCTTTGTATATACTTTTTGAACATTTAACTTTCATTTATGAAATATATGATGTTATTCTATTCAATATATGGTTATGATTCAAAATATAGTATATAGTGTGTATTACATTCTTCAAATGCATATAACATGTGATCTTATCTGATTATTAATCACGTGTTTTATTAGATATTAATCACACTTAAATCTGTGATCTAAATGTTTATTATCACAGGTTTTATTAGTTATTAATCACATTTAAAAGATATTATCTAAATATTTTTAATCACACTTAAAAGGTGTGATCTAAATGTTATTAATCACACTTAAACTGTGTGATCTAAATATTTTTAATCACATTTAAAAAGTGTGATCTAAATGTAATTAATCACACTTAAAATGTGTGATCTAAATATTATCAATCACACTTAAAAGGTGTGATCTAAATATTATCAATCACACTTAAAAAGTGTGATCTAAATGTTATCAATCACACTTAAAAGGTGTGATCTAAATATTTTTAATCACACTTAAAAGGTGTGATTAAAAATGACCCCTTTTAATCACACTCCCAAAGATCACACTTTAATAAAACTAAAAAGGTGTGATTAAATAACAAACATCACACAAAAAAAGTGTGATCTTTATCTATTTTTGTAGTAGTGCCCACTTCTTTCTCCCTTTTACTTACTGGCTTTCAATGGTTAGTTTTAGGACATGTTTCAATTAGCATACTTATGATAGCATGTTTGCATCATTCATCTGTATTGCATGCACCGGGCTCGGTGCATCATGCTAACTGCATTGTATTTCAATTCCAAGTTGAATACATGTATCGAATTGTCACATCTCATATGTCATTTTAGATTAGTCGATCCTATGCTAGCTGCATTTTGCATGTGATGCATTAGCCATTGCTAACATGAACTAGGATCATGCATTGATTACTAACTAGTTTCTGTTTTGGCTCAGAGTACTAGGTAAGCTTTTATACTTTAGCATCCTTGCATGTGTGTGAGTGTTGCCATGACAACATGCTTACCATGAGGCTATCTACTTAGTTGATTAACTGGCTGAATGCTTGTGGGTGAAGGTTGGGTTGCTTGAGTTGGAATAATTCGTCGAAACCCATGTTTTAGCCTACTTGCGAGTAGCAAATTTCAACCCATTTTCAAAACGAACGGGCGCGCGATGCTTTATTCCAAATTAGGCAAACCAGTCTATACTTGTATGCTGTGCGCATCACATAGTAATTCTAGGCTAATAACCAGAATAAGAACACACAATGTTTTCAAAGCTCGATATCATGGTTAGTAGAGCCCGATCTTTGATCATGCGAGCAGGGTTGCTCATGAAATGACCTTCCCCAATCGTGCCCAAGTTCCCAAGCCGAGGCAACTTTGGTGATGACGGACACGTGGCCTTAGGCAACGAGTCAGGGTTTCCTAAATTCCCCAAAACAAAATATTTAGGTGGCGACTCTGTATCTCGCAAAGCAGTCCATGTTTGGCACTTCTTTCTTAAAAATCTATTTTCCAAAACGATTTGCCGGATTTGGACTCTTTGACGATTCATCGGTCTTGCATAACACTCTACGAGATTAGATACAGGACCGTGACATCGAGTCCTGAACTGTAGTGAGTCGCAAATGAACAAAACGAGATTCCCTCCCAGGACGTTTGGGGACGTCTACAGGCAGGTTGCCGATATACTATTGTGATACGAACCTACATACGCTAATTTTTTGGCTACAGATCACATTTGAATTCCGAGGGCTGAACAGCAGCTCATGGCACTCATTTTTCCAAACTACAAGAGCCTTAAGGAAATTGGTCTTGGAGATTTAGATTTGGAGCAAGGTGGTAAAGTCCGCGATCAGGTCGCCGAACAACCAAACCAGGCCAACTTGGAGGAAGTCGACGCTGCTCTCAACTTGGCTTTTAAGGAAGTTGGCATTAACCCTTCATCCACTTTAGGCCGAGTTGACACATCGTTAGAAGATGATATTTTCACCGATTTAGGAGACCTTCCTGGCACGGATCCTAAAAACATGGCCGGAGAATCACTTGCACAGATGGCTAGAAGAAAAAATGCTGAGAAGATGGCGGCTCGAAGAAGGGCTAAAGCTGCCAGATCTGAGCCCCTACCACCACTTGTTGAGACAAAATCTTCTTCACCGGCTCCGGTTGAGGTTGAATCTTCTCTACCTGCTCTTGTTGAGGAAATGGAGCATGTTATTGCGGCCGAGTCGGTCATTGAACAATCAGACGACCTGGTGGCCGAACAGAGGGGGGAAAAACACCTTGCCTAGATTGGAGCCAATTCTTCTGAAGACTTAGTTGATAAATGGCCACGCATAGAAGAATCGCAGGATTTGACGGCACCATTTATCACCCAACCTAGAATAAAGAATGCATCGATTTTGGCCGATGCGCGGTTTTGAAGGATGCCACCATGGCCCTAAGCATGGCCTTGTCGATTTCTCTACCGATTGACAGGGTAGCTTTCCATGCAGAGCTGGATATGGTGTCGATAGCACTAGCTGCTCAATCGGCGATAGTGGTATGTAACTGACTTGATAAAATATTTCGTTCCTTTTTATACTGGCTATCTTATTAATCTTTTGCTTCAGGCGGCGGCCAGGATCGCAGAAATCGGCCCCCGTCACTATGATGTTATCGAGCAAATCAGTTTGTTTAAAGCTGAAATCGAAACTGAAAAAGGCAAGCCTAAAGAGGCGTTAGCTGAATTGGCAGTGGCTTCTCTTAGAGCCGAATTCGAGGTAAGGAAAGCGGTGGAAGAGCGAGTGAGGGCCAGTGCCGAGGAAGAGAAGGCCAAATGCTCTGATCAGCTCAGGCTGGTCGCCGAAGAAAGGGCGAATGTGAGTGATGATGCGCTCAAGTTGGCCAAAGAGGTGATTGCCAAACTAGAGGCCGATTTGGAAGAATCGAAGAAGGCAAAAGAAATCGCCAACTCCGAGATCTCCAAGGTGTTCGAAGCCGGAGAAAACACGGCCTTGGAAAAATACGTGTAAGAAGTACCCAATTTTGAAAATCGGGACTTCAAACATAGCTGGCTCAAAGCCCTGGCTTCCGCTAATGTGACATTGGAGCATCCAATTCCATACGAGCAGCTAGAGGTTGAGCCGTTGGAGTCTGACCCTGAAGAATGAGAAGTGTCAATGTAATTTTGCTTTTTGTTTGGTATTTTCTATACATAGTTTTTGTAGATTTTTGCTTATTTATTTTGTTTAGAAGTCAAATATAGGGCAATTTTCATGTGTCAAATGAAGGCTATTTGTACTCAATTTATTAATGAAAATTGCCTTTTTGTCTGTCTTCTACATGTGCTAATTAATAGCTAAGTAGGGTGATGTAACGTAATTTGGCGATAAAATTAATGGCCAAGACAGTGCAAGGAGATGTAGCACAATTCGGCTATACCATAATCTGACGAATTAAATATACGGCTCAATGCCAAACTCGACTGGCCAAGTGGGGTGATGTATTGTAATTCGGCTATAACATCATATGCCGAGTATAATGGTATATTTGCCCTTGCCCCATTTGGACAAGTTGTTCCAAAGCCGAATAATCATGTCTTGTGAAAATTTGAATGTCATTGAAGAGCCGAATAAAACATACAACTTGTAATGTCACATTGAATAAAATCTGCCGATCATATGGGGCATTGTAGTTTGTCAATATATTTATAAATAGAGGCCAAATAGATTACTGAATCTACCCTTGACCCAGCTGATTAAGGAACAAAACCACCGAATATGTGTAGTTCATGGATTGGATGGGGAACAGTAACTTGTCGACACAATGCATTGCAAGTAGGCTGAATAAATTAATGAATCTGCCCTTGCCCCAGCTGATTAATGAACAAAACTGCCGAATATATGTAGTTCATGGGTTGTATGGGGCATAGTAACTTGTCAACGCATTGCATTACAAGTAGGCCGAATAGATTAATGAATCTGCCCTTGCCCCAGCTGATTAATGAATCTAACTACCGAATATGTGTAGTTCATAGATTGGGTGGGGCACCGTAATTATTCGGCAAAATGCATTAAAGCGATCACTTTGGGAACATTGCACCCGTAATTAATAAGCGAGGTGGGGGCTAGGCGCGCGTGGGTTCTGTGTTATTGATAAATATATGGTGCTCAAATTCAACAGACTTTGAGGGGAAAAGAGCATTGTATCGAACTCAGGAAATTTGGATGTCAAGAAGAATATTCTTTAACAACAGAGGGGATGGCAGGACACTAGCTAAACTGGACTTAGAGATGAATCGAAGAGGTGGCAAACCAGCGCGAACTGGTAACAGGACGTCGAAGGAGTGTGAGAGGTGTCGCTCCCCCCATCGTCAAAGTAGGTCTCCAAGAGGGGGTGAAGTAGAGAAGTCACCCAGGAAGGAGAGGCAGTAGTGAGGGAGGTCCCTCTGTCCGCGAAATAAAACTAGCAGGCCACCACGCTCATTGAGTTTTTCGATTTTCGTTGGGAATAAATCGATGACTGAAGCGGATTCGATTATCCGCGATCCAAATGTGGTAGTTGAGTTTGCTCGACAGATTTTTCCGCCCGAAGTCCAGCAATCAATGGTCGGTTGGCCTGATTATGAAGTTTTTCGAGAGGGCGTCCATGGAGTGGTAAAAGGACTTTACACCTCTTATGAAATCGGCATGCATATTCGTGCAGCGCAAAGAGAGATAGAGCAAAAAAACACCCGCATTCGGAGCTTGGAACATCACACAGAGAAAGCCGAGAACGAGCTGAAAAAAGCTAAGGCTTCCGAAACATAGTCGGCAAGTCAAATGAACCCGATCATAGCGAAAAGAGTAAACCAGCGTCTTCTGGATCATACGATTACCGACCGAGATATGGCGAGCATGTTCGCAAAAGAGGCAATAAGA